TTTGCCTCTAGGTGTTCGCTGATTCGTTGTTTGATTATCTTTTCCAGAATCTTCCCAGGTATTGAGGTCAGGCTGATAGGTCTGTAATTTCCTGGATCCATTTTTTTCCTTTTTTGAAGATGGGAACTACATCAGCTCTTTTCCAGTCCTCTGGTAGTTCCCCAGTGCTCCAGGATCTTTGAAAAATATAGTTCAGTGGCTCTGAGATCACATCTGCCAATTCCTTGAGAACCTTGGGGTGTAATCCATCTGGTCCTGGTGATCTGAACTTGTCTAGGCTGAACAGGTGCTCACTTACCATTTTCTTGCCTATCTTAACTTGTGTTTCTATTCTGTTTTTTATGGCACTATTTTTGATAGGTTGGTCTGTTTTTTTCCCTTTGTGTAAAGACAGATGCAAAAAAACAAGTTAAATAGTTCTGCTTTCTCCCTGTCACCTGCTTGTTAAATAGTTCTGCTTGTCACCTTCTTGCCACTTTCACCTACTAATGGACCAATCATTTCCTTCACCTTTTTCTTGTTTTTTACATGTTGAAAGAAGCTTTTTTGTTATTTTTGACTTTGGTCGCAAGCCTTAGTTCATTTTGAGCCTTAGCTTTCCTCACTTCATATTTGCAGGCTTGGGGTATTTGCTGATATTCTGATTTAGTTATGTGCCCCTCTTTCCACTTTCTATACTTGTCCTTTTTTATCTTTCAATTTATCAGAGAGTTCCTTATGCAGCCATGCTGGTTTCTTTTGAGAGCTGTTATTTTTCCTCTTTGTTGGTATTGTGCTAGACTGGGCTTTTATTATCTCACTTTTCAAAATTTCCCAAGCTTCTTGAGTTGTTTTCCCCTTGAGGATTCTCATCCATGGAATCCTTCCCAAGTGCTCCCTAAGTTTATTGAAATTGGCTCTCTTAAAGTCCAAGACTCTAGTTTGTCTGTGTTCTATTGTTTGTGCTTCCATAATGTTGAATTCCAATATTGCATGATCACTTCCTCCCAAGGTTCCTGTGGCTTCAACACCTTCTATCATTTCATCTCTGTTAGTGAGAATTATATCCAAAATGGCTAATCCCCTAGTTCCCTTCTCTATTTTTTGGGAGACAAAGTTGTCTGCTAGGTTTGTCAGGAATCTGTTTGATCTTCCACTTGGTGCAGAGTTTGTCTCCCAGTTGATCTCAGGGTAGTTAAAGTCCCCCATTACTATTGTGATGTGCTTCCTACATACCTTAGTTAGCTATTACAGATAAATTAGTAGAAACAGGATTTTAATTTTTCTCCACAAATATAGCATTTTTTTTGGTTTAATAGTTTAGTCTAATAGTAGCTGTAAAAGAACTTCAGTAAGTCAGTTACGTGGTACCTTAAAGTTATGCAGTTGAACACTAAAAACTACTTTGTATTTCTTGATTGTTTTTTCCTAGGTTGGTTCAATCTGTTTTCTTGTAATTAGAAATCACTGTATCCTTATTGTCATTTGCTTGTGGCAATGATACATATTTTGTTCTTTTTAACATGTATATAACATTTTTTTTCAGTTACGGGAACAAGTAGTACACCAATGAATGGAATAACTGATGAAGCATTTCCCATCACTGAATTTGACTATGATGATGCAGTAACACCATGTCACTCTGTGGGTTTGCAAACATTTGTTTCTAATGTCCTGCCAGCATTTTATTCTTTGGTATTCATCTTTGGCCTTGTGGGCAATGTGCTGGTTGTACTCGTCCTCATCAAATATAAGAAGATTAAGGGCATGACTGATATATATCTGTTAAATTTAGCCATCTCTGATCTGTTTTTCATTTTTTCACTTCCCTTTCGGATTTATTATTCAATACATGACTGGATATTTGGAGACACAATGTGCAAAATTTATGCTGGGATCTTTTTTTTATGCTTCTACAGTGGAAGTTTTTTCATTGTCCTCTTGACCATTGATAGATATTTAGATATCATTTATTCAGCATCTGCATTAAAATCCCGGACCATACGCTATGGTATCATTACAAGCATTCACACATGGGGCCTGGCAATTTTAGTCTCTTCACCAGGATTAATTTTTTTTGGATTACAGATGGAAAACTATAAGAAATCTTGCACTTATAATTTTCCACATGAAAATCATTTTGCATGGAACAAATTTTTTATACTGAAAATGTTCTTTATAGGTCTGATTTTTCCAATGATGATTATGACTTTCTGCTATATACGCATCTTAAATGCCCTGTTGAAATCCAGGAATGCGAAGAAGAACAAAACAGCCTGGCTTATTTTTATCATCATGGTTACTTACTTCCTCTTCTGGGCCCCGAACAACATTTGTTTTTTGCTTCAGTTATTTCACACTTCATTTTTTGCTGACAACTGTGACAATTTAAAGAGAATGAATGCAGCATTGCAACTGACTGAAACAGTTGCAGTAGCTCACTGCTGTATTAATCCTTTGATTTATGCTTTTGCTAGTGAGAAGTTTAAAAAATACGTTATCAGCTTTTTCCATCCATGAAATTCATATATGTGTGATGATTCTCTGGACAGAACAGTTTCATATACTGACATTCTATCAGAAATGAAGGCGTTTCAGCAATCTTACAGAGTACATGTGTGGAGAAAAATATGATTTAGTTTTATGGATCAAGTCACTTTTAACAAAGCTACTTTGGTGTTAGAAGACCAGATTTGAACTGAATGAAGTGTGTTTTGGTAATGTTAGTTTACGAATTACGTAGTACATGAATAAGACATGCAGTTCTAATTGAAATATAGATTTACTTGAGTACTTTGCATACAGTGAAAAGAATCAAGTCTTTGCTTGAGCAAAGCATATTATATGTACCATATCATATCTGAGATACATTTAAAATATCTTTTATAGCCGAACATATTTGATAATTTTAACTTCAAAGAGTTTCAATTCACTTTTTGAAAAAATAAGTACTTTATTCTTTCTAAATATACTGAGGCTGTAGTTTTATTAATATTTTTGGTATGTTAGTGTAAGTTCCCCCTGTATAAGTTACCTCTGTATAATCAAGAAATAGATTGCATTATGAATGCTGTATTTGTACACTATTCTGATATTGCAGGTTTCCTGTATTGCTCTAAAAAGATGGACACAGTCCAAGATTATTTTTCAGAAAATTACTAAGCTGTGAATTTGGATGTCAAGAAAGGTTATGTAGCATGATGAAAATGTTGGGAAATCTAAAGTGTTCACTGTAAGGGGAAAGGTCCTTCAAGGTTGTTATATTCCATCAACATGTGAAATTCCTCCTGTAACTAATTTTTTTCTGCACTAGGAAGAAAAGTTTTAAAAATATTATTTTAATGTAATTGTCTTAGCAGTAGTTTGATATTGGTGCAAAAATTACAGCAAATATTACTTGTGTATATTTTGGATTCTTGAAAAATTAAGGTTTTGATTTTGTACAATTCATGGGATATTGGGGAAGTTTATTCCTTTATAAGATTACTAGCTGTACCCGGCCATGCGTTGCTGTGGCTCAGTCTGGTTAAATGGAAAAGAAAGAAAAGAGAAAGCGCACGTTTGTGTCACAGATGTGACATCTATATAATAGTAAGTATATAAAAACACGCACGTATTCGAATGCAACGTTGTATTAAAATTTCAAAGCAATCGGTGAAGAACTTTCGGAGATTTAAGATTTTGAACAAACGAACATTTACATTTTTATTTATATAGATATAAAACTCATTGCCAATAAGTAAAATTAGTTTCCCATCCAATGGAGAAAGCAGTCCAACTTCAGAATAGTATCCCTATTCTGCCAAGGATGACCTTCATTAGGTTTTCATTCCCTCAAACTAGCATTTTTGGAATAGTTTCGGGTCAGGGATCAAAACTCACCCAATGAAGTTTCCTTGTGTAATAGTCATTTCCTGACACAATGCAACTTTTAAACTTAAAACATCCATTTTGATGAAAAGGAAGTGAATAAAATAGGAATCTCTGTCTCTCTCTCTCTCTCTCTCTGTCTCTCTCTCTCTGTCTCTCTCTCTCTCCCTCCCTCCCTCCCTCCCCCTCTCCCTCTCTCTGTGTATACAAATTACAATTATACAGAGATTACATAGAATAAACTGAAATATTCTTTGTAATTTTCAACAATTGGTTGCTTTTCATTTATTGTTTAGGCTAAAGGAAAGAGTCCAAAAGTTTCTCTATTTGACCTGAAAATATCACTTCAGTGAATAAGTTTATATTTCATTTTAATTTTACCATGTTGTTTGGCATTATTATTTATAATAGAAAGGGAAGCATTACATTTAATACTTCAAACTATGCACATGTGCTGAAAACTAACAGCCATTTCTCCACATTTTAAAATAGGTAATACAAATCATAATCAAATGAGATGATAAATTCCACAGTGGTAATAAAAACAAATTCTAAACATAATTATGTTTAGAATTTGTTTTTATTACCACTGTGGAATTTATCATCTCATTTGATTATGATTTGT